ACTTGATGATCCATAGGATCCCTTCCAGCATTGCAGTTCAAAGATTATGATGATAACTGTCTCAGTCAATACTGACTTCTGTAGAGTAAGCAAAGTCTACTCTCAATGAGCTTATGAAGCTTTGACCTCCCTCCTCACAGAAACAGAATGAAAAATAAGCTACTTCCTCTTGTCAAACTTATAAACTAATGTTGTAAATATGAAATACAGGGCCAACTGGTAACAGTTTAAAACCCAATGAAACAATTGCTACTGCGTCATTACAAAAGAACTGAATACAGAAATGCAATCCCACACATTAATTGCACATAGTGTTTAGAAAGCTTTTAGAACACTGATACAGCCAAGTTACACAAAAAAACATTTTTATGATGGTGTACTTAATAATAGTTTACATAAATCCATTTAATGTTGATTTCTGTTCAGTCAATCAGTTTTCTTGTATTCACAGTCATTCAGCTTCTCTCAAGTGCATTTTACCTTCTGGGATGATTTATTGATGGTTTTCTTTACAAAAAGCTTGCTCAGGGCACCCAAATTATTGATATAAGCTTACCTAAAACCACAAACTATTATTTGTGAAAATTACAGCACCTTCAGGCAATGATCTTCAGGCAATGACTGAGCTGGTGACAAATATGTTTACAGAACATAAAGCTTCATTCTCAATTGCATCTGATAACAAGGTACTGTTGCTCTTAGGAAAGAAAACAGGCCTTTGCTAGTCTAAGATAAATGAGAACAGATGTTGAGGAAAAATGGCACTACATCGTTCTCATAATGATAGATTAAAAGCGATCCAATCTAATAACAATTCTCAAACTGTATTCAGCATTAATTTTTCTTCCCCTGAAAATACCTGTCCTCACATTCATTGGATGCAGAGAAATCTAGTGTTAGAAGCCACTATTTTCCATTTCTGGGAACAGAATCCATGTTGTTAGCAAATTTGCCTTTCAAAATGTTGCTGTGCAAGAGAAACCTGAGTTCCCGAGTCTTCTTATCCCTTAAGCAAGCTTTAGACAGGTCTAAATGAATGCACTGTGACATAATTACCCTGGATTTACTTTGATGTAAATGAGACAGGCGTGATGTTCAGTACCATACAAAACCTGCTAGACAGAAAAGGCAGGAGGAGTGGGAGGCCAATCCTTGTAAGCTCATGGCAGCATGCTTTGACAGCCTCTTAAAGAGTACATTTACAGACTTAATTCTGCACTGCCTAAGAACTATCTTAAACATGCATGACGTCAAGAAAAGAAAACGTTTATTAGAAGCTGGTGCCACTAAAATGACTTTTCCCCATCATACCGGACAGCATGTTCCATTCTACATACCTAGCTGTAATTTCAGTTTAAAAATTCCCAAGGGACACCATTTGTTGCTTATCCATGGGCAATATGCAAAATTCTCCGATGAGCTGATGCTACCAAACATAACGCTATGTCAACTGCCTAACAGAAAGAAAAGATGGCAGCATGCTAGTGTTACCAGTTTGTGTAGCGCAGGAGAGCTCAAGCATTTCTTCCTATACATGAACCACTAGAACAGGCAAGAGATATTTGGCAGTAAATAGTTCTGAACTAATGTTAGCAGACTTATAACAGACAATGCCATCCCTAATAAGCAAATTTCCGTGTGTCTACTTGAGCGAAGGAAGAAAGCAAAGTGTCATGACATTACCTACTGATGAGCCTTGTTGAGCCACAGAAGAAGACTACTGGATTTCTCTGGGAGACACATCAAAATGCAAATCAACTGAGCATTTGAATGCTGTTTACCTAACAAGCTACTTGTACAATATGACAATGAAATGCATCATAAATGCAACATTTTTATCACATTCTATGCACTAGTAAGAAGTGAAAAGGAAACAAACCATCAGAAAGCTGGTAATAAAACAACCAATAGGTATTACCTAAACCAATACAAGCACCTTGACATCACACTGGATTCAAATTGGGATACTTAAATGTCTCTCACTGACATCCATGGGACTTAAACATGATCTGTATGAACAATTATTTTAAAAAGATAATGGAAATAAACTCTTCCAATTGTAACTCGTAAAAGTCCATATGCAAGATTTCACACTGCTCATTGAACCTCTTTGCATCTTAGATTTCAGTTTAACAGTACTGAGCCATAAAGAAGGGGGCAGTGACCTCCAATGACTTTTGCTGGAAGATGGATTAAGATGCCATGTGAAGTTATTTGTTCTAGCAACATGATGAGCAGACGGCCCGGTTTAAATAATACATACAAAGCAGAAGGCTGTGAGAATGATGTGCCAAGTCCAGTAAAGATAAATGTCTCAACACCTGGTTACTTGGCTATGTAAGTGTCTGTCTGAGAGTATTTATTGGATG